GGTGAACAGGGCATGGAGGAGTTGATAGCCCAGGGGGAAGAGAGCCAGAAACAAGCCACACAAGGATCACAGATCAGTATGGCCGCTGCAATGGAAGCAACTGAGGGCTGTAGTGAGGTCGCAGAAGAGGGGTGGGGATAGAGAGGACAGCCCTTGAGAGGTTTCCAGGTGCGTGGCTGTGGTGTGCCCAATCCCCAGAGAGGTCAGGGAGTGGGGACAGAGGACAGACGTGCAGGCAGAGGCCCCAGAGGCAGCCAAAAAAGTTAAAGATGAGGGTGGAGAGGGAGACCAGTGGATCAGCAAGCCTTGGGTGACAGGCACCCTGGAGGGAATGTGAAGAGTGAGGTGAGGAAAGAGCACCCTCATATTTCCATTTTGGAAATGCCTCCATAGCAGGATGGTGGCTGGACTGGAAGGGTAGAGGAGACAGGGAAAATTGTGGGGCGCGTACTGCCATAGTTCAAGCAAGAGATGGCAGTGGCCTGGGCTAAGGCAGAGCAGTGACAACGGAGGGAGCAACGAAGGATGGAGATGTTAAGGACGAGGACGTAGCAGCACTTGCTGACAGTGTGAGTGGGAACTGTCAGAAGAGAGCCAAGTGTGGCTCTGAGGAAGGTTCCCTGCCACGAAGCCTGCCTGGATGACGTGAGTTGCTATGACCATCTCTCAGCCACAAGTGTCAAGACAGTGGGGGTGGTAGAGAGCCCAGCAGGAGACAGGGGGCCTGGGTTCCAGCCCAGCTCTGCCTCCAGCTCACTATACACAGGCCAGGGCCTCCCACTGTGAGTCTGCTTCCTCCCCTCTGGACAGGTGGTTTGGAAGAACCCTATAATGACGAGTGCTACGCTGTCTCTAACCCCCAGGCCTGATCAGCCCTGGGAAGATTTGCAGCCAGTGCACAGCCATCCACCACCTGAGGCACCTGCCTCCTCCAGAGAAGCCAACATATCTTCTTGGGATACCTACCTCGCAATAAAAGAAGATGAACTATAAAGAAGGGGGATGTGAGGCAGCCACACCTGCTGGGGTGGGGCAAGGCAGGAAGGGGGAACAGGGTGTTACCTGGATGAGGTTGTTGCTGAGACGGATGAGGACAGTGGCAGAAGATGATTCCTTCAGAATGCTGCCACTGCTATCTGCCGAGAGTGCCTGCTCGATGCCCAGCAGCAGCTGGGTCACTGTGGCTACCCACTCTTCCTTGCCTGAAGCTTCAGTCACATTCACCATCTGCTGGACCGCCTCGTTCAGAGCCACATCGGAGCACTCAAAACACTGCTGGTGGTCCTTCAGCCGGAGCAAGGAATCCTGAGCACAGGAAGGAGTGCTGTGAGAGGACTGCGACCACATTTACCATGCCTGGTCCTCACGACTGAGGGACAGGTAGCTAGGGATGAAGATGTGAGGGGCAGTCCAAAGGAAAAGGGAAGTATGGGTCCCCACAGTCTTGAGGCATCTACAGGGGCATGGGGTGACCTGTGTGCAATCACAGCATGGCAGGCCACCAGCAGCAGGGAGCTTTCAGAAAGGTGTTTGACCTCTGCACCTCAAGTTTCCTCATTTATAAAGCTGAGAGAGGCCACAGAGCTGGTGAGCAGCTCTGACTCCACCACCTCTGTCAGCTATCACCGTGCTCCAGGCCACCTAGTCATGCGCTCATCCAGTGCCACAGCTCTGAAAGGTCTCAGCAGAGGAGCGCGGCTGCCAGGGAGAGACTGTCTCTGCAGAGGAGGGCCTGAGCCAAGACCAGGGCAGCGCACCAGCCAGGCAGCTCTGAAGTCATCATTCTGAGTCTCTCTCCTCCCCAGGAACCAGGTGGAGCAAGGTACTGAGTCCCTTAGAGCCCCAGCCACCTCACTGCCCATCAGAAGTGCCCTGACCATTAAATGAGCTGATGCCCATAGCGCACTCAGCACAGTGTCCTGGCACACAGAGAAGCTCTCAGTATACCACACTGCGCTCTGCTTTTTTTTTTTTTATAAATCTCTTCTTTGGGAGCCATTATTTTTGTTAAGCTCCCTTTCCTCTTGCTCTAGAACAAGCCAATTTAAACCCCTTGGGTCTCAGCCTCTTTCATCACCGTGATGGTGTGTGGGGAAACTCAAGCCTAGTTGTGAATTTGCAGATCTGGCAGGCAGCCTGTTAGACCCACAGGAAGCACCTGCTGCCCGGCGCCCCATCGGACTCTAACCTCGCCACAGCTGAGGCCCAGCAGTGGCTCCTGCCTGCCTTGACACATGCAGCTGCCACACTCTAAGGTGACAGAGACAGGTGTGGGGACAGAAACATCCAAAACTGCCTTTGCAATGTGCTGTAACATGTGAAATCAGATCAAGCCGCCTTCAATTTAAAAGACCTAATTGCCAGGAACACGAGGCCTATTTCTGTAGAGAAAACCAGCACTCCAGCAGGAGGCCGCAGAGGCACGATGGAGCCTCCAAGATGCAGACGTGGAGCCCCCAAGGCCCAGGCTGACCCCTCATGATCAAATACCGAACATGCAAGAGGCAGGAGACTATTTTTAGTAGAATAAAGACTACTGACTTCAAACTACAGCCAGGGTTGCCATGAAAGTCAGACACAAGATAAAGACTAGCCAGCAGCACTCTAAGGTGACAATCCCCAGTGCTCACAGTCAGAAAGAGCTAAAAAGCAGAAGAGTAGCTGCCAACAAATGAGGAGACCAAATTACTACTGACTATGGGCAACATGATCATCTACCCAAAACAAAACAAACTAAACAGAAACTATTAGAAGTAATGGGAATTCAGTGAAGTGACAAGATTTGAACTAAACATGCAAAAATCAGTAGGCTTCCTATAAACCAGAAATGTACAGTTAGAAAACATAAGGAGGGCCAGCCGAGTGGCGCTATGGTTAAGAGCTGGCTGGCTGGGGACACCAGAGGGCCCCGGTTCAGATTCCACATATGAGGGCCAGTGACACTGCCCTCTACAGCTAAGATGCTGAACAACAGCTCGACCTGGAGCTGGGCTGCCCTGAGTTGCCAGCAACGGCGTAGGCTGCAGCCCCTGCTGTAGTGGGTTGTCATGGGCTACCGTGTGTAGCCAGCAGCCGCTGTGAGCGGCCGTCCAGAAGCCGGCGACTGATCTACCTCGCCCGGGAAGAGCGCAATGATGGTGCCAACTTGGGCCAGTGAAGCCACCTCCTCCACAACTAGACTGAGGAACAAAAAGACAGCAACTTGTCTGCTCCCCTTCCCCCAATTTCCCAGAGCTGTTCCCATCCCCCAGTTCCCAAATAAAAATCTTTAAAAAAAAAAAAGAAAGAAAGAAAACATAAGGACCACAGAAAGATCCTGCTCAAAATAGCAATCCAAAATATTAAGGACTAAGAATCAGCTCAACCAGAAGAAAATTAACAATTATTTTGAAGAACAAAAATCCTCCAGTGTGGAAGATTCCAAGGAAGACCCCCCCCCTCCATGTAACAGCTCAATGAAGCAAGTTAAATGCAAATCATAAAACATTAACACCACTAGAAGAAAACAAAGGCAAACAGGCTTTCTGTCTATTTGTTAACATGTTTCTCTTCTGCAACCTTTCTAAAATAAAGAGTTGCCTAGAGGGGTCCTCTCTCCTGTCCAGTGCCAGGCAGTAGGAACTCAATCCAGTTGTATAGAATGAGTGGATGAATATTTTCCCAGTCTTGAAAAGGTTGTCTAAGCATAATGAACAAAATCACAAACGTTTGAAAATAACAAAAGATTTGATAAAATAAAAATTCAAAACTTCTATATGTCAAAAAAAATACAAGCTGCAATTTAAAAGCAAACAACAAACAGGGAAAAATACTTGCAATATTTGATGAGAAAAAGATCAATACCTTTAATATGTAAAAAGCACTCTAAATCAGTAAGAAAACATCCCCTTTCCCTCCGCCCCCAAAAGGAAGTTGAGCAAAAACCAGAAGTCACTTATTTGCAAAAAGCTGGAGCTCCCATGGCACTTGGCCCAGGCCTCCCCTCAGCCCATAGTGCTGCTCAGTGGCTGTACAAACAGCAGCTCCCTCATCAACAGGGCATCTCCACACCTAGGAGTTCTAGATGACAGGAACAAAACAACATCTAAGTCGCTGGGGCCATCTTACAGAGGCAGAGAGAGCTGGTCTCTCGCCTCCTCCCCACCCAATGGGTTCCCTGGTACACCCAGCTGTCCTTCCCACACACAGCCATGCTGGACCCCTCCTCCCACTGCTGTGGTAACTGAGGTCGGACACATCTCATTCCTCTCTCACCTTGGGCTGCCTGACCTCCTCTGCCCGGAGCTGGTCCCTCCTTCCCATCTCTCTCTCTCTGCTTCCCTCCTTTCCTTCCCAGAACCAACTCTTTCCTCCCCTTTCACCAGGGCAGAGATACCTTCATTTGTGCCCACAGTTGCACCACTTAACTATTTCCTAATTCAAGAAAGCTAATAACTACAATGTCTCATGCAATCCGAGCAAAAAAACCTGGGAATACACTGGGCTGTTTTTCCATATTGATGGGGAAGGGCCCAACAAGGTAATATGATTTGTGTGTGAACCATACGGACGGGACACTAACCACCCAACACCACTAAGCACATCATGTTTAGCATCTTCCATGTCTGTCTCTCGAGTTTGACTCTCCACAGTTCCTGAGGATGGTGGCAATGATGACAGCCAGCACCTATTTTGGCGCTTGCTACAAGCCAGGCACGGTGCCAACACACACTAGCTTGTATAATCCTCACAACAGGCCTGTGAGGTTAAGGACAATGATCATCCCCATCCTACAGCTGAACTAAGGCACAGAGAGGCTGAGTAAACGCCCAGCGCCCAGCAGATCCTGGTGCCCGGTGAGTGAGTTCTCAGTAAGGGTTTACTAACGAACAGAGGCATGGAGGGAGCCGAGAGGGCACATGGGCTTCAAACACCACACTGGTGTTCTTTTCCTCCACCTATGTGATCATACATGGGTATTTATTTTATCTTAGTTCTTTACACTGTACAGATATTCCATCCATTTTTGTATCTACTCAATAGTTAATTTTAAAAGTAATTTAACTCTCCGTCAGGCGCAACTGATCTCACAGATTCATTGCACACAAATTTTCAAACATCTAACAGTTAAGTATCATGACTCGTCACTTCTGTATCTTCCCCCTCTACCGTAACCTATCACCAGTCATGTTTGTGACTTAGTAAAGATGTATTTCATAGTGGCCTCTTTGTGTGCAATGTATCTGTGAGACAGGCAGCGGAACAAACAGCTGGATGAATGGCTAATGTTCTGACTATTCTTCCTCCTCCTGTGCCATGCAGAAGTTGAGTCAAGAGTGGGCTCACCTTGAGTCATGTACAACCCTTGAACCTGCACTCCTAAGTTCCAACTTTCTCCTGTATCTTCCGACTGGCATCTTCCCGGGTACCAAGTTAGCAGTTTTTACTCCCACTTTTCTCTTCTAGGTTCTCGAGGGCCATCTCGAAGCCTCCAGGGAATAAACCCTCATCAAGCAAAGAAGGTACAAGTGGGCAAGGTGGGCACAGCAGCACACACCTGTAGCAGCAGCAGTTGGGCTGGCCTCTCGGGAATGGACGTCATAAACTCCAGGTGTTTGGCCCGGTCAAACCCACTGGTGCACAAAGTGGGGCGGAGTAGGTGCACGACAGCCTCGTAGTCTCCGGCCTCATACAGCCGCTGAATCTCCTCCAGGGACTGGCACCGCTCCAGCGACTTCAGGTTCTTATCGATCTGCAAGAAGCCCGGAATTGCTACCCGATGACAAACCCCTCACATGCTCCTTGAATCTGGCCAGTGTTTGCATTTATCAGAACCAAAATTTGACTCCCCTTAATATATCAGCATTTACATTAAATGAATACTTTATAAAAAACTATTTCTATTAAGGTCAAGGCATTCAATTCTTTAAAAAACAAATATACCAGAAACTAAAACTCCCCGGGAGCACAGAGGTTCCAAAAAAGTGTCTGCCAAAACAGTTGGACAGCCTCGTGGTCATAGTTCAGTGAACCAGACTCATGGAACTGTGGAGTGTCAGGTTGCTAGGGACTTGGTGAACCTGGGCCAGAGGCTGGCACATGCCACTGACCCACGAAACCCTCTCCTCACCAGAAGACCTGCCGTGGCCCCCAGGATGTAGGCAGCAGGGGCAGTGCCCTTGGCCTTGCCCTGAAACAACTCTGCAAGAGTCTGAAGGCCTCTTTCAGCTAATACAGACATTTCACAGATGTGGAACTGCATGGGGTCTGAGGCTCCACAGTGAAAATAGGATTAGAATCCAACAGAACCTGGCATACATACCGCACACCACTGATCCAGCCCCATGGCTAGACCGGCACTGGTCAGCTTCTGCTGGAGTTTCCCTCTAATTCCACTGGGATTGCTGTCATATGCAGCCCAGAGAGCTCGGCAATCATCACTCTAAATCATGCCAGCAAATGCCTCCACCCCTGCCCCCTGCCACCTGGATAAGCTGGGGCGGAAGGGGTTGCCTGTGAGTCCATGGCGCCCTTGTGCACCATAGCTGCCTCTCCCAGGCCCCTCTCCCCTCCCCAGGGAGGAAGGAGCCCTACTCAGCATGTCCTGCTCTCTTGGTTCTTAGAGACAGGTGGGGCCTATCTAACTGGGCCAACCCAGAAGAAATCTTTGACCAAGAAAACACCATTAAGAAAGCTCCCACTCACCTCCTCCAGGGAAACGACTGAGTCGTTGTGGAGGTTGGGCAGCCGGATGACAATGTCTCTTTGCTCAGCCCCTGCCTCTGCCTGGATGGCAGTGGAGCCCTGGAGCATTTCCGTGCAGATGTCATAGTTCTCCAAGGCCTGCTCCATGTCTCCCTGGTCAAAGGAGAAGCAGTCAAGGGACAGGGACAGGAGGAAGGGAACTTACTTTGTTGTGCCAGGTATCTTAACTTCCTGATCCCACTAGACTGTAGGCCCCACGAGGGCAGTTTTATCCAATTACAGCTATACCCCCTGAAAAGGGGCCTGGCACATAGTGGGGGCTCAATAAGTATTGTTGAATGGTTGGATGGATGGATGGATGGATGGATGGATGGATGGATGGATAAATGGATGGATGAATGGACAGACGGAC